TACTGCAAGGAAGTAGTAGCTCTCTACTGGTTATAGCATCTTTGCCAGAGTAGATTTACGCACCTTGAAGAGGTTTGAAGCTGTTGATTTGGTGAATGTATTCCTTTCTATTGCAATTAGGAAAGAGGATCAGAAAGAGTTCATATTCATACGAGATGCATAGCAACAAATCTTTACGGTTTTGCTACAGGGCTATGTTCCTTTTTAGTCCTCTGCCACAATCTAGTCCAAAGAGAATCAGAGCATTTGGACATCACGTGTAACATCACATTGATCCTCACGTTGAGGATGTCATGCTGCTCAGGCAGGATGAGAAAGAGGTGAAGAGCGTGGTGGAGGCCTTGGTATGACCCATGTGCTCCTGAGAGTGGGAGATAAATCCTACAAAGATACAATGACCTGCCACTTCGCTAATGATTTGAAAGGCCCAGTGGTCAGCAGTGTGCTGGGATCTTCCTTCGAAGACAAAAGAAAAATTGTTGCATTGTTTATACCTTATTGGAAAGAAGGAAGCACAAAATCTGTTAGGAATCTTTGGGCTCCTGACAATACACATTTTACACCTAAAAATATGGCTGCTGCCCATATAATGGGTTACACAGAGGGTGCCAGCTTTGAGTGGGGCTTGGAACAGGAAAGAGCTCTCCAGGCTGTGTTACAAGCAGCTCTTTTGTTGGACCATAAAATCTGGCACAGCTTATCATGTTGGAGATGCCAGTGATGGAAAAAGACGTACTGTGGCATTTATGGTGAGTCCCAATAGAGGAATCACAATGCAGACCTCTTGGATAGTGCAGCAAGGTCATGCCAACTGCAGTGAAGGATTACACTACTTTCAAGAAACAGCTTCTAGCTTCTACTGGGCCCTGGTAGAGACACCAAGTGATTGTGGATTCAAAACTGGCCGTCATCTGCTACCTCCTGTTAGACACAGCAAGTGATAAGGTCACGCAGGGCCAGTATCAAAGCTATCATAGGATAAAAATGGTACATCTGGGAATGAACACAAGTGAAATAAGAGGGCAGATGTGCACACAAGCTGTGTGAGCAATTAGCCCAGATTTCCATGTCACTCACTACCGTTGCACCAGCACCCCTCCCCCGGCGTCACCTGTGGTCACGTGAGGGGATCCCATACAACCAGCTAAAGGAGGAGGGAAAAAGACCAAGCTTGGGTTAAGGATGTACCAGCTCAGTAGGTGGGTACAAGCTGAAAATGCAATGGCAGCTATATTACAGTCTCATTCAGGGAAGGCCTTGAAAAACTGGTGAGGGAAAATCTCCGCAGTGGGAGGAGCTTTGAGATGTGCATCTGGTCATCACTTCGTATGGAAGGAGAATGGCCTAGGGTTAGAACATACATGGGCTCGTGGGCAGTGATGGTGGCCTGGCTGGGAGTTTGGGAGCCTAAGAGGAAAAGGAAGCATATGAATAGAAGTATGGAATTTTGGGCACAAGGTGGGACGTTCATATCACATTAAGACCCACAAAAGGGCTGGGAGCAGTGGCTCACACCTGTAATCCCAGCACTTTGGGAGGCCAAGGCGGGCAGATCACCTGAGGTTGGGAGTTCGAGATCAGCCTGACCAATATGGCGAAACCCCGTCTCTACAAAAAAAGAAAAAAAAAAAAAAGACCCACAAAAGATGTGTCAACTACACAAAGTAACTTAGATGGTTAATGTTGGCCAGGCTCAGTGAGAGGCCCCCTCCCCCACTGCTGCACAATGGGTTTCTGAACAAAGAGGCCACAGTGGCCAAGATGGAAGCGATGCAAGAACCTAACAGCATAGATTGTTATTGGCCAAAATGAACATAGCTACTGCCACCTCTGAAGGTCCAGTCTGTCAGCCATGAAGACCAATGCTAAGCTCTATTCCTTAGCCTCCAGGACATCATGGTCTATGCCTTGAATCAGTCAAGTTAATATGGTGCTGTGTCCATACATGAGTACGGAAAGAATGGGTAAGCCTGAGTGGCCCCACTTATTATAATCCCAATGACCCACTGTAATTTCCTCTCCCTGCAACCCTGGGCTCTGCAGTTAGAGGTCCTGGTTCCCAAAAGGGCACACCCTTGCCTGGAGATGCAGCAGAGATCCCACTGGACTACAGAGATGGCTTTCACCAGCTACTTTGGCCTCCTAATGGACAGAGACTAGGAAGTGAGAAAGGGAATGGCCATCTTATCCGAGGTAACTGATCAGCAGGTCAGCAGGAGGAAGGGCTGCTGCTACACAGTGTGGGTAGGTAGAATATGTGTGGAATTCTGGTGACCTATTTGGGTGTCTCTTGGTAATCCTTTGCCCAGCTGAGCCTGACATGTGCTCAGACCACTTACAAATAGGGCATCCAACCAGGTTAAGCTACTGAGGGCAGCTGAAGTGGTGGCTAAGTGGTGGAGGGATATGATGAAGACCAAAGGACCAGTTGTGGCCTTAAGACCAACTGCAGTGACAGGACTATAGTTCATTCCATTAATTTCCCTCTTGTAAGCTTCCTTGTAGGAAGAGTGACCCTGAAAAGGCTGTTCCCTAAATACAAATGGATGAGGAAAGCCATGTGGTACAAAGGGCGGAGTAAGCTGACACAGGGTGGCACTTGGGTCAAGTCTGCCGCCCAGCTGTGAGGAACATGTTTAGCCAATGGCCTCCAGCTATAGGTCTTTCAAGATCTGCCTCAGCATTCTACCTGAAGTCATCCATTTCTCTGGCGGCCCCACCAATGGCTGAGCAAGGCAGTACAAGGGCCTAGCCTTTTCTGTCCAGAGCTGGACTCCTACTCCGGAGCTCCTCATTGGGGTGGAAGAGATTTTGGCAGGTCTGCACCAAAGTCTCATAGGTCCCATGAATCAATCATGCTTTTTCCTTTGACATTTTCTGGCGTTATACCCCAGAAAAAGTGCACAGAAAGTTCTGCACTCTTCACTCCATGTCAGGATCTCCTTCCTGGAGAACCCAACCTCTGATGGCACATATTTCAAAATTTTTCAAAATGTCTCCTTTTTCCTTCCCACAACTCCTTCTGTCACCTTTCTCCCTTTCCCTTTCCCTTTCCCTTTCCCTTTCCTTTCTTTAAGAAAGGGTCTTCCTCTGTTGCCTCAGCTGGAGTCCAATGGCATAATCATAGTTCACTGCAATCTTGAACTCCTGGGCTCAAGAAATCCTCCCGCCTCAGCCTCCCAAGTAGTTGGGACTATAGGCACATCCCACTATGTCAGGCTAATTTTTTTTTTAGTAGAGATGAGTTCTCGCTTTGTTGCCCAGGCGTATCTCAAACTCCTAGGCACAAGCAATTCTCCTGCCTAGGCCTCCCAAAGTGTTGGGACTACAGGAACGAGCCACTGCACCTGGTCCTTAAATCATTTTTCATGGCTTCAAATTGGGGGAGATTTTATAACTGTACTCCCAACAACTGTAGCAAAAGTAGTCTTCTCAGTCTCTCATCTTCTATATTACCATTGCAGCATTTACCCACAAATTCCCTTATTTAAAAAAAAAAAATTTTTTTTTAAAGAGATGGGGTTTCACCGTATTGGCCAGGCTGATCTCGAACTCTTGACCTGATGATCTGCCCACCTTAGCCTCCCAAAATGCTGGGATTACAGGCGTGAGCCACCAAGCCCAGCCTAAATTCCCTTATATTTCAACACTTTTTTTGTGTCTTCCCAAACATGCTCCTTGAGTGTAGAGACTGTTTCTTTTCTTTTCTTTTTTTTTTTTTTTTGAGACAGAGTTTTGCTCTTATTACCCAGGCTAGAGTGCAATGGCGCGATCTCGGCTCACCGCAACCTCCACCTCCTGGGTTCAGGCAATTCTCCTGCCTCAGCCTCCTGAGTAGCTGGGATTACAGGCACGTGCCACCGTGCCCAGCTAATTTTTTGTATTTTTAGTAGAGACAGGGTTTCACCATGCTGACCAGGATGGTCTCCATCTCTTGATCTCGTGATCACCTGCCTCGGCCTCCCAAAGTTCTGGGATTACAGACTTGAGCCACCGCGCCCGGCCTGAGACTGTTTCTTAAACTTCTGCATTTTCAGAGTGACGAATATAAGGACCACACAGAGGAGAGTCAATAAACATCCAGAACTTAGTGGCTTTGATAATAAAAGATCCCTGGGAACCTGTCAGACCACAAATAAGGCCAAGTGGATTAAAAGACAACTATAGAAGCAGCAGCCAGAGGGAACAAGATGTCCCTCTTAGACGTCCTAAAATGAACCTATGTGGGCCCCGTGTTTGGCTGGTTTTCATAAGAAAGTACTCTATTCCTGAAAGAGGGTTTATCTACCACCAATGACAAAACTGAGGACAATTCCCATTAATCATTTTGAAGAATTTCTAAGTCGGCAACCAGATTCCATTATTTTTAAAAAATGATGTACGTCTTATTGGATCAATGAGCCATCTATTTTATTTGAAGATGTTGAAAAGAAAACCTTTTTTCCTCTTCAACTTGTGTCCTGTGTTTAGGGACCTAAAAATTACCTGGCAATCGACAGATAAACAGGAGAAAAGACAAAGTTTATTTACGCATGCATGCAGGAACTTCCAGTAACAGAAAACTCAAAAGTGAAGGTTTATATACCTCGACTCAACAAAAAGGAAGTTTTTAGGGCTCCAGAAGGAGAGTTTGGAAGCTTCCATTGGGTTGTTTTGTGTTTTTGAGACAAACTCTCAGCTCTATGGCCCAGGCTGGCATGCAGTGGCACAATCCTGGCTCATTGCAGCCTCCTCCGGTGTTCAAGCAGTTCTCCCACCTCAGCCTCCCAAGTAGCTGGGGCGCACCACCACGCCCAGCTAATTAATTAATAAATCAATTAATTATTATTTGGTAGAGAGCTCGCCATGTTGCCCGGGCTAGTCCTGACCTCTTGGGTTCAAACTATCCTCCCACCACCTCGTCTTCCTTAAGTGCTGGGATTACAGGCTGAGCCACCGCGCCCAGTCCATTGGGTTTTTTAGTGCTAATGGTAACCGATAGTCTGTCTTCCTGCCAGCTGAATAGTCCGAGAGGCTGTAAATGGCACCATGTTTTCTGGAGGTTCTGCTTTAGTCAGATAAGGGAAGTTTCATTAAGATTTATTTCTACATCTTCTGTAGCTCAAATATTTTCACCTAAAAACAATCTTTATGTCGACTCTGGGGGTCAAAGTGCATCCCCACAATGGAAAAGCTCTTGTCCCAATCTCTACCAGAATCAATCTGAAATCTTCGGATTTATCTAAGCATGTCCATCGTGATTGACGCATAAGCAGTGGTTCAGGGCACCGAGTTAGCGATTCTAGGTAAGTAAGACCGTGTCAAGAAGTGGTTCATAGAAGGCAAAAGCAAGGGAGAGTGACAGTCGTTGTTCTTTAAGAGGACGCGGTGGTGGAGGAGAAAGTTGCACATCGGCCCTGAACCGGGCGGATCCTGATATGGGGCCTGGGGACGCGATTTGGGGAACCTCGGCGGCATCCGGGCTCCGCTTGATGCCAGTGCGTGTTTGTACAAGTTACTTCCTCAAGTTCAGGGTGAGGGTAATAATATCTACCGCGTGAAGTTGTTGGGAAGCTTCCCCGCCAACCAAGGCAGAGCGCACAGCTCGCAGGAAGCGCTCGCTGGGGTCTGCTCTTTCCGGGAATGGGTGGGGTGCGCACTCCTAACAGGGCTCCCAAGACTTGCGTCACGCGCCCCAGTCGGCTGGCTTATAAAACCCTGCCAGAGCCCCAAGATCGCTTTTAGTTTCTGTTCTTTCTGAAGGAGCCTCGAGGGGCCGGGCTGGGGAATCTCGGCCTCACCGAGCCTAGAACCGAGAGGGGGCCGCCCCGGGCGGTCGCCTGCAGATTTACCCGCGCGTCCACTTTCTTTCCACCCAGTTGCCCTTGCGGCCGCTGTAAACCTGCCACTAGGACTGGGTCGGTGAGATCTAGCCTCTTGACCTGAGAGCCGAGAGTGGGGAAGCCGAAATCGCTGGGCTGGGCTAACAGCTGCAGAGAGCGCGCCCTCGCTGGCTCGGGGCGCGCCCAGCAGGAGCACCGCCCGCGCCCGCCCCTGGACACTTGTAAGTTTCGATTTCACCGCAGCCGAGTCCTGCGCGGCGGCAGAGCCAGCACAGCCAGCAAAGCCAGCGCGCCATGGCGGATCCGGAGGTGTGCTGCTTCATCACCAAAATCCTGTGCGCCCACAGCGGCCGCATGGCCATGGACGCTCTGCTCCAGGAGATCAAGCTGTCGGAGGCGCAGCTCTGTGAGGTGCTGCAGGTGGCCGGGCCCGACCGCTTCGTGGTGTTGGAGACCGGCGGCGTGGCCGGGGTCACCCGATCGGTGGTGGCCACCACTCGAGCCCGGGTCTGCCGTCGCAAGTACTGCCGGAGTCCCTGTGATAACCTGCATCTCTGCAAGCTCAACTTGCTGGGGCGGTGCAACTATTCGCAGTCGGATCGGTGAGTGCACCTGGAGGGAGGGGCGCTCCCGCAGCCCGGGTCGGGGCGGTTAGTCCTGGTGCTGTTCTGAAAGGGGCGCGGCCTCGCCGGTACCCCCGCACCCGACGGCTTCTGCCTCCAGCCACCCTCTTCTCTGCTCCGCTCCGGGAGCCCCCGCTGGGCCCGCGCTTCTACCTTTGCAGTTCTCTTCCTTCCGGCACCTCCAGACCTTTTCTCTAGAGTGCTTAAAGCGGTAGTGCCTGGCGGAGACTAGGCTCCCTCCACCCCTTACCCCGCCCTCAAAAATCAGAAGAATAAAGTGCTCTGGGGCCAGCCAGGGCCTAGAGAAGCTGGAGGCAGGTTTGGGAAGGAAGGAAAGGGCCAACACTCCTTGGTATCTTGAGTCTTTCCCTCCCTGTTACCTTCTTCCCTAGACGTGGCGGAGTCTTCCCTGCACCCCGGCGGCGCTGGGCCCCTGGTCTGTCTCCGCCACCGCAAGCCGCAGGTCTCTGCTTGTCCCTCCCTTCCTGGTCACCCGTATGGCCCCCTCGTCACCACTTTTCAGATGCCTGGCGTCCAACAGGCGGCCAACCTCCTCCAGGTTCCCAAAGCTGCAGCAGCCGCGGGCCTACCCTCCCGGGGGCCTCTCCGCGGTGGCGCGCGCGGTTGACCGCCTGCCTTGGGACCACTCACATCGGTTTGTAGCAGCACGGCTCACCTCTCGGGCCACTGCTTTTGTTGTATCCATTTGCCTTTTTTTCCTCTCGTCTAAATGCAGGTGTGCTGCAAGGTTTGGGTTAAGCCTCTTGATTGATTTTCTTCCCAGTCTCTTCCTAAGAGTGCTTGCTCCCTCGGGGACAGCTGCATGTCAAAAAAAGATGGCTTCCAGGTCCACATTCGCGGCTCAGGCCTTTCCCTTGATCCCGAGCCCCTCCTCTCTCGCGTCTGAGAAACAGCCATGCCCGCTTGTCCTGTCCAGAGAGTTAAGCTCATCTTTTCCCCCAGGCGGGGTCTTAATCCTTCTCCTCCTTCACAATCCATCTTCAAGTCCTTTTCGTGAAGTCTCTTCCCCTTCTCATTTGTGAATGAACTGAATGAATACCTTGTTGAATTAATGAATGGTTCTCTCTGGCCAGTCTTTCCTTCCATCCTTTCTGTCACTATGTGCTTCTGCTCATTTATTTTTCTCGATAGAGTACTTTTTACACTTTGTCCATTCTTAAACACTCCGAATGGTGTCCCAGGGTTTAAAATGGTGGTCAGCAAACATTTTTGTGGGGGGTGGGGGGTGGGGGAGACAGCTCTATCGCCTGGGCTGGAGTGTAGTGGCGCCATCTTGGCTCACTGCAACGTCCGCCTCCCGGGTTCAAGCGATTTTCCTGCCTCAGCCTCCTGAGTAGCTGGGATTGCAGGCGCCCGCCACCACGCCCGGCTAATTTTTGTGTTTTTAGTAGAGACAGGGTTTTGTCATGTTGGCCAGGATGGTCTGGAACGCCTGATCTCAGGTGATCCACCTGCCTCGGCCTCCCAAAGTGCTAGGATTACAGGCATGAGCCAACACCTCCGGCCTGTCAGCAAACTTTTGATCAGGGACTTAACTACCAAAAACTGCAGTCACTTACCCCAATATATGGGTAATAAAACACACAAAGGTAAGTGTTTTAGATGAATGAGGTAGAAGACACAGTATATTTTTTTAAAAATTTGTTTACAACAAAAACCCTTTCGGCTCACGCTAACATTTTAAAAAGTGCTTGAATGTGTTCTTTTATTTAAATATTTCTTTAATATGTTGTGAGGCAACAATTTGAAGGTTGTTCCTGAGTTGCTGGGAGTATGGGTATGGAGGAAATCATCTAAGTCATCGCTGGCCACTGAAAGAATCTGTAAGAAGGCAGCAGGGTAGAAAAGAAAGGAACATTCTAGCACGTTCTAGCAATACACTAAATAACAGGATTGGAAGGCTTTTGTTAGGTTTTTTCTGTTCTTATCTTTTCTGTTATGACAAATTCCTCACCAACTAGTGTTGACTTTTAGTTTGAAATCCATATGCTTTTTATTTTTTTATTTCTTACTACGGATGTTTTCAACATACTCAAAAGTAGAAAAAAAATGATGGATCCCCTCATACCCATCATTTCACTTCAACAGTTTTCAAAACATGGCCAGTTTTGTTTCGTTTATTCTCTCTATTCTCCATGTGTCCCCAGCTCCAAGGTGTTGTTTTAAAGCAAATCTCAGCAACCATTTGATTACTAAGTACTTCAGTATCTCTACTGAAGTACTAATATTTTATCTACAGTATCTAATATTTTATTAACAATACAATGATTACATTTTTGTAAAAAAAAATAAAACTTTAATATCATCTAATACACAGTTGATATTCAAATTTCCCTGATTGTCTTATAAATCCACCTTATATTTTCAGGAAAACCATACACAGACATAATCCGTTAAAAAAATTTTTTTTTCAATTTTATAGTTATTTGAAATAGGGTCTGTCACCCAAGTCTGAAGTGCAGTGGCCCAATCTTGGCTCACTGCAACCTCTGGCTCTGGGTTCAAGCAATTCTACTGCCTCAGACTCCCAAGTAGCTGGGATTAGAGGTGTTTGCCACCATGCTTGGCTAATTTTTTGTATTTTTAGTAGAGATGGGGTTTCGCCATGTTTGCCAGGCTGGTCTTGAACTCCTGAACTCAAGCGATCTGCCTGCCTCGGCCTCCCAAAATGCTGGGATTACAGGCCTGAGCCACTGCCTGGCCTGGCCCATAATTTTTTTCATTTTTATATATCTAACATTTAAATACTTGTAGGCAATATGCTTAGACATTTTAGTTTTATGAATTTTATTATGGTATATTTTTGCCTGGTTTGAAACTGCAAACCATTTTAAACTCATTAATTAGATTGTTAACTTCTACTTTTATAAGAGTATATATAATGTAGGGATTATATAGTCTATGTAAATTTAGATGGGCCCTCCAGAGAATTCAATGAAGTTTATTTTTTTTAGTAGAGTGATATCTTATTTCCTCATGTTTATTGTGCTAGCTATATTTTTATTTATTTATTTATTTATTTAGAGATGGCGTTTCGCTCTTGTTACCCAGGCTGGAGTGCAATGGTGCCATCTCGGCTCACCGCAACCTCCGCCTCCTGGGATCAGTCAATTCTCCTGCCTCAGCCTCCTGAGAAGCTGGGATTACAGGCATGTGCCACCATGCCCAGCTAATTTTTTGTATCTTTAGTAGGGACGGGTTTCACCATGTTGACCTGGATGGTCTCGATCTCTTGACTTCGTGATCCACCCGCCTCGGCCTCCCAAAGTGCTGGGATTACAGGCTTGAGCCACCGCACTAGCTATATTTTTAATTTTATTTTATATCGCTTGAATCTGGGAGACAAACCTTTAATCCATTAATGTATCAAGTGTTCTAATAAGAACCTCTGGGATAATTTTTTATGTGCCTATGACCTCGAATCCTAGAAAACATGTTTTTTCCCTCTAAGTATGTTTTAAAAATATTCTCCTCTTAGCAAGTTATAAAACTTTGTCTTCTAAAACTTACCACTTGTGAGTTTAAGGACTTTCTTTGTAGATTATCAGTTAACGGGGTCTGTTAGCTAATTGATACTCATCTTGATGTTTCCATTCAGTTCAGTCAACTGGTCTCTGTTTACAGCAGGGCGATTTGCATTGTGCTGGATATATACAATTTTGTCTGTAGTATTATTATTTATAGGTAGTATTTATCCTGTCTATTCTGTAGCTTCTGTCTTTTCTTTTGTAAATCTTTTAGTTTTACATTTTAGTTGACAATAGGGCTTGCTTCGATGTTGGATAATTGTTTTGGTGAATCGGTTTGGATATTTCTCTTTGCTTTGCTGAAATATATGCCCACACATGGAGTTCTAATCCTGGTTCTGATGCAAAAATAATCACCATTTATTGAACAAATAACTGTACCAACTACTATGACAAGCGCTTTAGAGATGATAACCAGGTTAGTCTTTAGGAAAGCTCCTAAGGCAGTATTTTAAGTCCCCTCCTTATAGGAAACTCAAGCATAGAGCCTTTCAGAAATCTACTGAAAGTAACATACCTAGAAGCTGGGAGGATTGGTATTTGAACCCAGGTCTGCATGACTCTTTTGTTTGTTTGTTTCTTTTCTTTTCTTTTTTTTTTCAAAGACAGAGTCTTGTTTTGTCGCCAGGTGCCAGGCTGGAGTGCAGTGATGCGATCTCGGCTCACTGCAACCTCCGTCTGCCGGGTTCAAGCAATTCTGCCTCAGCCTCCCGAGTAGCTGGGACTACAGGTGGGCATCACCATGCCCAGCTAACTTTTTTTTTGTGACGGGGTCTGACTTTGTCACCCAGGCTGGAGTGCAGTGGTGGGATCTCAGCTCGTTGCCACCTCTGCCTCCTGGGTTCAAGCAGTTCTCCTTGTCTTAGCCTCCCGAGTGGCTGGGACTACAGGCACCTGCCACTGCACCAGGCTAATTTTTGTATTTTTTAGTAGAGTTAGTATTTTGCCATTTTGCCCAGGCTGGTCTCAAACTCCTGGGCTTGAGTGATCTTCCCAGCCTCCCAAAGTGCTAGGATTAAAGGCATGAGCCACCACGCCCAGCCTGCTTGACTTTTTAACTTCATTGTCCAGTAACTATATGAAGCTATTAATTCAAAACATTTTTTGCATGCATGATTTCTGTTTAACTGTTTAAAGCAGGCTGCCTGAGCGTCTTTACCTTGCTTTGTGGTTTCTGCCAATGCGGGTGTTTCCTCTGGGTTCTTTCCTGTTTGTATGCCTTTCCCTTTTGGTTAGTTCACATTTTGGGTGGGGGTGGGTAGATGGGAAGAGCACCAGTTGACTATTTCGAAAATTGGATAGAATACTGGAAAACACAAAGTATTCACTGTCTAACAAGCATCAGAGTATATTTATTCTGAATCTATAACAAATTGTACCTCCTAGAATAAATAAGGGCTCATATTTTTCAATTTTGCTCCTTCTCTTTTA